GAGAAAATGTCTTCTTAGTGAAATAAAACTTTCACAGTAAGGTACTTTAAATAATAAAAAGTCATATGAACATATGCAAATCTCTGTGCACGTGTGCACATCAGCGCTTGTGTGTGTTTTGGGGGGGATTCTTGCAAATGCGTGAGGTCGAGTAACCCCACAACTTATCAGTTCATCCCCAGGCTTCATGGCATGGCTAACTTTTGAAGGGGGAAAATGTCAAAGAAATCTTTACACCAGCGGCCCCCAGCGCTCCTTTGAGCATCTAACGCCTGAGGATCCGAGGCGGAGCTGAGGCGGTGATGCCGGCGCTGGGGGCGGCTGCAGACACAGATGCAGCTTCACTCACTCGCCCACCGCTCACCTCCTGCTGTGCGGCCCGGTTCCTAAGAGGCCACGGACAGTACTGGTCCACAGGCCAGGAGTTGGGGACCCGTTTTATGCCATTTCTTTTCACCCTCCCTAAAACAGACATATCTTTACACACCTGCCCCATCTATAAGTAACTTTCCCACGTCCTCTTACATTCTTGTCACTGCTTCGTAAGTCACCTCGATGTTTTCAACTAGCAAATCAAAGACTGGGTGACTAGCAGAGGAGGAAGATCAGTTCACATAAATGAACCAAGTATAACAAAGCGTTTTTCAGTAAAGATAGTTTTTCAGACATAATAGCCATCGAGGTGACAGATCCTGCCTCTCCCACTCACGTCTCTGATGTGAACTCTGCTACCAGGGAAGTGGGGGTCTGCGTTCAGTCTCTCACAGGAACTCCCCAACCCACACTTCCCTCAAGTGGCCCTGTGTATTAAACCAGCGGACACAGTTCTCAGCCATTTTTAAACATCCTACTGATCTGGTGTCGCCAGCACAAAACAGCGCGGTACGTCCTCGATCTCAGTGAGCCTTAACCTTCGCAACCTAACTTTAGTCTATCCTTCGTCAGATTCCTTTCTGCCTGTAGACATGCCTATGTCGACAACGACAAAAATAACAGTAACAGAAAACAAAATATCGTGATAATAATACAAGTAGTCAACGCTATGAAAAGCTTTCAAACGTTTCCCACACTATCCCATCCTAACCCTCAAAGTAACCCTCCGGCCTGGGCGCGGGTCCCACGCTCTCTGCAGGTATGAATAGGGTCCTGCAGACATTTCAGTCACTTGCCAGGGTCCCTGAGGGGTTAAGGGGTCAGGTCAATATCAGAATCTGATTCTAGAGGTTAGCTCTCAACACGTACTCTATGCTATGAGATTGAGTCATATGAAATTGCAGTTTTGTGGGTTAAAAATTTCCCAGGAGTCAGCATTCCGCCCTAAAGAGAGCAGTGCTGTGTGAGAGGCCCGTGGCATCCCAGGAAAGTCCCCTCCTGAAATAGTGTGGTCCATACTCTAACTAATCTTTAGAAATTCATGTCCCCAAGGATGAATTTCTTCAAGAATTGAACTAGAGCAGTATTTTCCAAAGCAAATTATTGCCAGAAGCCAAGAAAGAAGGGATGGGAAGCTGGGTTTGAACAGCTAATGACTTGAAGCGGGGTTACAAATGACTGACGAGACACTCCCGAAGGATGCTTTTGGTTTTAGTATGTGCACAGACAAGCTGCATTGTGTACGTACTGAGACAGGCGTCTCTACGTTTACACCAGTTAGAGGCTCCGATTAGTTGACAGCAGGCAAGATATATGCTATAAGGTCTTTAGGCCTTGTATAGTTATACACCCAACGTGTTATTAATACACAGCAATCAGTGATTGTAAAAACAGATGACTAGAAAAATAAATACCGAGTTACCATTCTTTTAAACAACATAGGATATTTTCAAAGAAGCAGAAACTTCAAAAATTACCTAACAACTTTTTTGAAGTTTTTCTGGCACATATTATCGAATATAAACACCATCCACCATGCCCATTGTAATTTCTGATTTACAAATATTTTAAAACTTGAGTTACATCTTTTCAAAAGGCACATGCAACTGGAAATAAATATCAAGTATTATGATATTCGAACACATTCCCAATTATAGGTACTAAGATAGTGATTGATTCTTTCCCTCAAAACTCTCCTGAGAAGGTTTAAAAGGACAACTGGCAGGAAACGAATGGAAACAATGTGCAGCGACACCACGGGACAGAGTTATCCTCCACCGTTCACGTTACAACATAATTTAGGTCCCCTAAGGAGCTAACTAAACTTAGTAACCAATGTATACCCGTGATTACTTTTTGACTGGTTTTAGCACTACTCCTACCATGGAAAGACTAGTTTTAGCAAAACAGGTTTCATTGAGAAGCACATTATGATGTGCAACACAATGTATTTTTGAAAATAGTAATTACTTCGTTTTAAAACTATAGTTCTTTTTACGGAGTAAAATAAACTTTAAACACTCAATCTGCTTTGAATTGTCAAAACCAACATCTAATGACAGAAAAAAGTGTCATTACTTTATAACCAAAGACACGTTATCCAACTGGGTCACTGGTATATTCACTAAACTTAATTCTAAATATATTTTACTATTAAAAAAAAAAAAACCCGCACTAAGAGAAGAAAGAGTTATCAAACTGTGCAGATTAAAACGAAAGGACTGTACAGCCGTAAGAGCGGCCTTCCCGGAAGACCGAGTCTGCTGAGTGACAGCTCATCAGATCACGACGCGCACCACGGGATCTGCCGAAAGCCTGCATCGCGGCTTCAGACCAGTCTTCATCTCCCTCATGGAAACCCCGGTTACTGGGTTCTACCGAGCAGCTGCGGATACACCGGAGTTAAGCCTCAGGATGAGTCTGAACAGCTCTGGGTAAGAAGTATTTGAAGCAGAGACATGTGAGCAATGACAAGAGCCCCGACACTGCTGGAAGCCACCCCCGGACAAGCCCCGCGGCCTCGGACGCTATTATGGGTCAAACTGCATCCCTCCAGGAAGAAGCTGAAGCCCTGACTCCCAGCGCTTACCAACATGGTCGCTAGAGAGGGGGCCAGATGAGGTCACACTGGAGTAGGACAGGCCCCTAGCCCAACACGCCTGGCGTCCTTACAGGAGATGACATGCACGGGGAAACAGAACGTGCACGTGGTGGCAGACACACGCCAAGGGACCCCAAGGGTGGCCAGGAGCCCTCGAAGTCCTCGCTAGGAACCCTGCACACACCTTCGCCTCAGACGTCCAGCCTCCAGAACCACAGACAAATTCCTGTTGTAAGCCACTGAGTTTGGGGTGCTTTGTTACAGCAGCCACAGACACTAACAGAGGTGTTATGACAAATAACTAAAATTCGTGAAGTGTTCTCTCTTCATGAAAGCAACAGACCTACTGTGCTGCACGAGCGCAGACGCCGAATTCCCGTGGCTGGATCTCAAGGCTAATAAGCTTCGCGATAAATCACAGTAAAGTCATAAGGAGGTTTTAGTATATATCTCGTTTCCTATTAGAACCTTTACACACTCAAAACTTCATCCATTTCTAGATGAACAGAAATGCAGTATCAGAGAGGTTTCATAGTGAAAATAACTACTAATTTTCCAGTAGCCAAAAACTTGAATTATTACCAGAATATCTTAGAAACCTAGAAAAAAATGTTCTTCCAAATTAAAGGCCTAATCTACAGTGCTCATAACAGAGAAACATCAAAACCAAAGAAATACCCTAGTTTTGCAAGTTTTCAAGACTTCATGCAATATTCTTCCTGCCCAAGCCTCGAGCTGCCCAGCTCCCCTCCCCAGCCCCCACAAAGGCGGTTTCTGACCCGTGTCTTACTGAGAAATGATTGAGGAAAGTAACTTCACTACAGCTATAAAACACACATTTAAAACTTTAATTCATTCACCTAGAAAGGAAACACTGTGGGATTCTAGAACCATAAAAATGTAAAAGCCTCTTTCTGAAAACTCAAGTTTTTCTAGAGAAACTTATGCTCATTAAGCGATCTGATTCCTACAGGTGTACAGAGAAGCAGAGCCTGGGCTCTGAAATCCGCTGTGACCCCCGCTGTCCCGCTGTCCCGCTGTCCCACGACCCCGCCCGGCCGGCAGCTCAGGGCTGAGCGGACAAGCAGTGCCAGACTTCACGTCTCAGAGCTGGAGCAGCCGAACCCAGAGCTGGCCAGGCAGAGCAGGAAGGGCCAAGGGCTGGGTGTGAACTTGGCTCTCAGTGAGTCTTTGTTGGTCCGGGTGGGTGGATGTGTGTGTGTGCGCGCGCACGCGCATGTGTGCGTAGGGCATGGTAATGCTTGGTTCATCTGGAAAACCCTGAGGGGCTGCAAGACGCAGAACCACCCCCAAACGCACACACACTGTGATGATCCCCATCACAGCCTTGAATCGTCATAAAGCTGGGCTTACCCCAGAATTCTGAAAACAAGGAGCAACCAATTAAGAAATGTCCTTTTGTAAGAACTTGAAGTAAAAAATACCTCAATACGCACTAGTTTTAACACATATGAAAACTAATTATAAAAAGGCTGACCTTCCATAATACATTTAATGTGATGATAAAAAACATCTTATTCTAAATATTAAAAACCAGAAAAGAAAATCTCTTATTCAGTTTTCCAATGGAGTGGTAAAAACCTAAGTTAGTAGAGCCTACCAAAAAAGTCTGTGGTAATTTTTGATACTTTTTTCCTAACAACTAGCACCATGTTCGGTAGGACACGATGATTTCCAGTGAGACAGGCGATGCTCGGGAAGTGTCAACTTACACTTAGAACCGACCCGTCAAGGAAAGGCCTGCCCGCCTGACACCACGCTGCATTCCGAGTCCGCCGCCCTTCCTTTACCGTCTCACAGTAACGAACCTAGAAATGTAACTTTTATTTTTTACTAATTTATTTAAATTCGTTCAAAAACCTTAGATTTTGCTTTGCTTATTGACGGGTTCATAACAGCAAATACGAATCAGTTTTATACGTACATAAATGACTGTAAAGTTCATTTGTAATATGAATACAGCTTCTCTGAAAACAGCCGAGGGTCTCTGAGGGAGCCATTACTACAGGCGCCTTCTGCACACGACACGGTGACAGCGCCTGCTCGGTGCCCTGGGCTCCTCTGCTGGGACACTCCAGGCCTGGGTCACCAACTGGCGGGCTACCACTTAGGGCTCCGCCCACCGGGGAAGTGCCACCCACCGACCGAGCAAATAGGTCCCCCGAGTCCTGCTGTATACAGCTTGGCCACCAAGTGCAGCCTGGGATCTGGGTGGCACGAGCTAAAGAATGTTAGGACATGGCGCAGACAGACGGCATGCACAAGGCCAAGCAGACAGACGGAGGATGGGGA